TGATGGCGGGCGCCTGTAATCCCAGCTACAAGGAAGGCTAAGGCAGGAGAATTGCTTGAACCGGAGAAGCAGAGGCTGCAGTGAGCCGAGATCTCCACAGCACTCCAGCCTAGGCGACAGAGCGAGACTCTGTCTGAAAAAATAAATAAATAAACAAATAAATAAGTAAATAAAACTATGATCAATGCTTGAGCCTAAGAATTTGAGGCTGCAGTGAACTATGGTTGAGCCACTGCATTCCAGTCTGGGTGACAGAGTTTTGTCTCAAACAAAACAAAACAAAACAAAACTATGATCAAATACATGTGTATGCCTTTTCTCCTATTAATCATTTGTGTGGTATTCTTGCCAAAAATGCATCATCTGAATCTAATCATGAAGAAATATCAGACAAATCTGAATTATGCGACATTCTACTGCAGGGGCCAAGCGGCCCTCTGAAGTTTCGCGGCAAAAAGTCAACTTGCAAAAGGCAGAGTAATGGTCAAAAAGGTGTACACATTTATGTAACATGTACATGTGGAAGCCCTCAGAAGGAAGACCCAAAGATACAGGGGAAAGGTAGGATCTAATGCTGATAGACTGAGTGGGGAGGCCCAGCAAGGCCTGCATAGATTCTTCTTGGCTTCTTGGAGCAGCATTGCTTCCTTCTGGGTGTGGAGCAGGACCCTCTCTGGAATGGGGTCTTGTGGCCTATAGTCCAACAAGGTAGGTCAGATAATTTTTTTCTGGCCAGTTTTTATACCAAAAGATGGAGGGAAAGTTAAGAGTAATATATTTAGGTTTCTTGTTTGTTTGCTTTGTTTTTTGTTTTTTGAGATGGAGTCTCACTCTGTCGCCCAGGCTGGAAAGCAGTGGTGCAATCTCGGCTCCCTGCAACCTCTGCCACCCGGGTTCAAGCGGTTCTCCTGCCTCAGCCTCCCGAGTAGCTGGGACTACAGGCAAGTGCCACCTCGCCCAGCTAATTTTTTTTTGTATTTTTAGTAGAGACGGGGTTTCACTGTGTTAGCCGGGATGATCTTGATCTCCTGACCTCGTGACCTGCCTTGGCCTCCCAAAGTGCCAGGATTATAGGTGTGAGCCACCGCACTCAGCCTATATTTAGAGTTTTGTGGCTGGCTTTGGGGGCAAAGGACTCTGTTTTCTATGACCCGCGTTGGGGAAGAGGATTCTAACGTCTCTGGCTAGCCTTGGGGGAGAATGGTCCTGAGGGAGAGGAGGGCAGAAGGTAAAAAAAAACTTGCTTTGTGGGTTGCTTCTGAGGCCTTCATTTTGGGGTATTGTTTTCTGAGATCCAAAACTACAAAAAAATGGGCTTATACGCTTCAAAAGTGTTAATGTCAGCCAGCCAGACGCGGTGGCTCACACCTGTAATCTCTACACTTTGGAAGGCTGAGGCAAGCGGATCACGTGAGGCCAGGAGTTTGAGACCAGACTGGTCAACATGGTGAAACCCTGCCTCTAACAAACACACAAAACTCAGCCAGGTGTGGTAGCGCATTCCTGTAGTGCCAGCTACTTGGGAGGCTGAGGCATGAGAATCATTTGAACGCAGGAGGCGGAGGTTGCAGTGAGCTGAGATCATGCAACTGCACTCCAGCCTGGGTGACAGAGGAAGACATCATCTCAAAAAAAAAAAAAAAAAAAAGTGTTAAAGTCACAGAAGAAAAGTTCTTTGTTCTAGTCTTGTAATTCTCGTGTAAATTTGAAATTATTTCAAAATAAAACTCACCAAATTTAGCTCATCTAAGTCTTTTCTATTCAATGCTGAGTACACCCACTATCATTACATTAAGAGCGATTGGTTTCCTAGAATACTAGACCTAGAAGGTCAGCTGTCAAGTAGCCATTTGTTCACGCCACAAAGATTTCCTGAGCACCTTTAGTGGGGCAGGCACTGTGCCAGGTACAAAAAAATAACTAGACACTCTCCCCGCTGTTGAAGGGGCCTGAGATCAGCACCTTAATAAGACAAATGAGGATCCTGAGGTCCTAGGGGTTAAGAGTGTGTATTATAGTTCTATTATTCAAATGATGAATGTTATGCATCTTTGTAGTTTTACTTCTGAGAAAACCAAAGTCATAGTATTACACAGACTACAGACAGGCTAGGCGCGGCGGCTCACGCCTGTAATCCCAGCGCTTTGGGAGGCTGAGGCAGGTGGATAAACTGAGGTCAGGAATTCGAGACCAGCCTGGCCAATATGGCAAAATCCTGTCTCTACTAAAAATACAAAAATTAGCTGGGTGTGGTGGCGAGCCCCTGTAATCCCAGCTACTTGGGAGGCCGAGATAGGAGAATCGCTTGAACCCAGGGGTGGAGGGTGCAATGAGCTAAGATCATACCACCTACCACCACACTGCAACCTGGGCAACAGAGTGAGACTCCGTCTCAAAAAAAAAAAAAAAAAAAAAAAAAGGCAGGGCGCGGTGGCTCACGCCTGTAATCCCAGCACTTTGGGAGGCCGAGGCGGGTGGATCACGAGGTCAGGAGATTGAGACCATCCTGGCTAACACGGTGAAACCCCGTCTCTACTTTTAAAAATGCAAAAAATTAGCCGGGCGTAGTGGCGGGCGCCTGTAGTCCCAGCTACTTGGGAGGCTGAGGCAGGAGAATGGCGTGAACCTGGGAGGCGGAGCTTGCAGTGAGCCGAGATCGCACCACTGCACTCCAACCTGGGCGATAGAGCGAGACTCTGTCTCAAGAAAAAAAAAACAAAACAGTGTCTAGAGATGATTCAACAAATCCGTGAATCTCCCTTGTCCACAATCCCACTGGGCAGAATTGTTTTTTGTTTTGTTTTTTCCTGTAGAGATAGGGTCTCACTATGTTGTCCAGGATGGAGTGCAATGTCACAACCTTGGCTCACTGCAACCTCCACCTCCGGTGCGCAAGCCACCATCCCATCTCAGCCTTCAGAGTAGCTGGGACTACAGGCGCATGCCACTACACCCAGCTAAGTTTTTGGTATTTTTTGTAGAGATGAGGTTTTGCCATGTTGCCCAGGCTGATCTTCAACGCCCGGGCTCAAGTAATACGCCCGCCTCGTCCTCCTAAAGTGCTGGGATTCCAGGCTTGAGCCAGGGCGCCCGGCCCTACACTAGGTTTTAACAGTATTTAAGTGTGCATTTCCCACTTTGATGACGATAATGGCGAAAGCAAAGAAGTCTGGATTCCAAGACCTCTAGTAACTGCGAGGTTGGGGGGAAAAAAATGTCGGGTTTCCCAGATAGAAGGCTTAGAGCAGCACTGCCCGCTCGGCCTTCTCCCCAAAGAGACTTTGGTTCCCGTCCCATTCTCCTCCAATCCGGGTGGATTTGGCAAAAGCCCAAATGACCCTCCCTAGCAATTCCGCAAAGCCAGTCTCCCACTCCAGGTTCCTGAGTCTCCCCGACCCCTCTCATTTCAGAGAGGCCTAGAGACACAGACCCGGAAGCGGGGAGAAGCCGGGCGGGCGGGGCGGGGGGCGGTAAGCGCAGGCGCAGTCCCTCCTCAGCCTCGTTGTCCCGCCCCTTCCCAAGGCCCCCGCCAACCTGTTCTGGGCGTCGCCGGGTCCTCGGATTTCCTCTTTCCGCCCCGCGTGGTCACGTGACGGGAGAGGTGGCGGGATACAAAAAGTGCTTTACTTTCCCTCTCCCCGAACGCCCCGCGGGGCAATTTCTTGACCTTTGGAGCCCCTTTCCCGAGGATCCGCTCGGGAGCCTCCCCTGGCCAGGAGCAGAGGATTCGTCTGCCCCGCGACCAGCCCCAGTCACGCCGCCGACATCGCCCCCTCTGTCTGGGCGGTTGTCACTCACGCGCCGAAGGGCCTCGGAGAAAGAAGGGGCGGGCCGGGCGAGCGGAGGCGGGGACTTGCGCGGTTCTGAGGCTGCCTCATAGGGCCCGGCCGGCGCTGGAGCTGCGGGTTTAGGTTGTCACTGCCACCTCCGTCGGTGCTTACTTCGCTGCCAGCTGGTCGTCGCCATGAACCCGGACCTGCGCAGGGAGCGGGATTCCGCCAGCTTCAACCCGGAGCTGCTTACACATATCCTGGACGGCAGCCCTGAGAACACCCGGCGCCGCCGAGAGATCGGTGAGGGCGGCGGGCGAGACCTCCCTCCTTTCCCGAGAAAACCTGGAGACTCCCTCGATGCGGAGTCAGGGGCGCTATGGGGCCCAGGCCCTCTCGCCCAGCGTTAGGGGAGCCGGGACCCCCACTTCGAGGAACAGCCTGTGTTCCTGGTGGGGGGATATCGCCATTCCCGAGATGTGTCCGCGACTCTGAAGCCTATTGTGATTCAGGGAGGGTGGAACGGAGCCCCGAGTGTCTGTCTGCCTTTTAATGCCCTTTAACCCCCTTCCAGAGAACATGATCCTGAACGACCCAGACTTCCAGCATGAGGACTTGAACTTCCTCACTCGCAGCCAGCGTTATGAGGTGGCTGTCAGGAAAAGTGCCATCATGGTGAAGAAGATGAGGGAGTTTGGCATCGCAGACCCTGATGAAATTATGTGGTTTAAAAAGTAGGTATGCCTTAGCACAGAGCAAGTGTTGTTAAGCCTGAACTTTAAAGCTGCGGTCTATGGTGGCCTTTCACCACCGTGCTTGGCGTTTGAAGATGCAAACTGGCATATTTTCATGACACTTTATGAAGTTATATATGTGCCCGGGCGCGGTGGCTCACGCCTGTAATCCCAGCACTTTGGGAGGCCGAGGCGGGCGGATCACGAAGTCAGGAGATCGAGACCATCCTGGCTAACACGGTGAAACCCCGTCTCTACTAAAAATACAAAAAATTCGCTGGGCGTGGTGCGGGCCCCTGTACCCTGTAGTCCCAGCTACTCGGGAGGCTGAGGCAGGAGAATGGCGTGAACCCGGGAGGCGGAGCCTGCAGTGAGCCTAGATCCCGCCGCTGCACTCCAGCCTGGGCAAGAGTGCGCGACTCCGTCTCAAAAAAAAATAATAAAGTTGGCCGGGCGCGGTGGCTCAAGCCTGTAATCCCAGCACTTTGGGAGGCCGAGATGGGCGGATCACGAGGTCAGGAGATCGAGACCATCCTGGCTAACACGGTGAAACCCCGTCTCTACTAAAAAATACAAAAATCTAGCCGGACGAGGTGGCGGGCGCCTGTAGTCCCAGCTACTCGGGAGGCTGAGGCAGGAGAATGGCGGGAACCCGGGAGGCGGAGCTTGCAGTGAGCTGAGATTGCGCCACTGCACTCCAGCCTGGGCGACAGCGAGACTCCGTCTCAAAAAAAAAATAATAATAATAATAATAATAAAGTTATATGTGTGAAAAATAATGTGGTTACTTTTGTATCCAAGCCTTTTCGTGGGATGACGTGTTTGTAGAATGTTGATAATAAATGGAAATGCAGGAGTTTTCTCGAGTACAGTTTCAAGGATGTTGTAAAAGCATTATTCTGCCCAAGCAACTCAAATTTGACTGATTTGAATGCAGAATCATTTTGCTCTTTGTAACGAGAACAGCTAAAATTCTGAATCTGGAAGGATTTTTTTTTTTTAGTTGCACGTCCATTTAAATATTTTGGAGCAGTAGCAGATTATATTATATGGTAATGTGGACCTGGATGAAGAATAATCAGTCACGCCTCTAAATGAATAGAAAGTCTAAGAAGCCAGTAGTTCTGAATCGATGACAGCGCTTGAATGGTTGTCTTGTGCATATGAGAGGGACGTCATAAAAACTTGCCTTGATTCTAGTGTGAAAGAGAGTATATCCTTTTTTCATACCATGTGTTTTATTGTGTTTTTTGTTTGTTTTTGTTTTCGTTTTTGTTTTTTGAGACGGAGTGTCGCTCTGTCGCCCAGGCTGCAGTGCAGTGGTGGGATCTCGGCTCACTCCAACCTCTACCCCCCCCAATTCAAGCCATTCTCCTGCTTCAGCCTCCCGAGTACTGGGATTACAGGCGCCCACCACCACGTTCGGCTAATTTTTGTATTTTGAGTCGAGATGGGGTTTCACCATGTTGCCAGGCTGGTCTCAAACTCCTGACCCCGTGATCCATCCTGCTCCACAAGGAGCGGTAAAAATAAATAAGGATTTTGGGCCGGGCACAGTGGCTTATGCCTATAATCTCAGCACTTTGGGAGGCCGAGGCAGGTGGACCAGCCTGGCCAAAATGGTGAAACCCTCTCTCTACTAAAAATACAAAAATTAGCCGGGCGTGGTGGTGCGCTTCTGTGGTCCCAGCTACTTGGGATGCTGAGGCAGGAGAATCCCTTGCACCCGGGAGGTGAAGGCTACACTGAGCCGAGATCGTGACACTGCACTCCAGCCTGGGCAACAAAGAGAGACTCTGTCTCAAAAAACAAAAAAAAGGACTTTTTTGCCTTAACCTAAACAAACACTGTTACATGATCCTAGTACAAGATTATTTTGACCTATAGCATTTTTTCACATTTATTCCTAGGCATTTTCTCTTTCAGTTTCTCCATTTTAAAGGAACTCCAGTATTTTCATCAGTAAAGATTAAATCATATGAGTGGTATATAGACTAGAACCAAGCTAAATAGAATATATTGCACGTTCTGCCTTTATGGTAATAATGGTCACTGCCTCTAGTGCCTTTGGTGTCGATATTCAGCTTGACTTGGGTTATTTTTGTGAAGATGAAATGGTTTACTCTGGTCCTTTGGACTTTCCTCAGAGCTCCACTCAGTTTTAGCCGTAAAAATTTTGTTTATTTATTTTTGGTAGTTCAAATCAGCATACTTCTAAATGGTCTTTTTTGTTTTTAAAGTGTAACTCATGGCTATGGGGATACTGAGATAGAGTAACTCCTAGAAGATTATGTTACTGATACCTGTGTTGGGTTTGTAAATTTGAAAAAATTAGTAAGATTTTATTCCTTCCAGAAATGTCAGGAAAGAAGTTTGTGTGTGTGTGTGTGTGTGTGTGTGCGCGCGTGTGTGTGTGTGTTTGTTTTTGAATGGGTGGTGCAATACATTTTAAAGTTGTTAGTAGATGATTTCATAACCTGTGACCTGTTCATAATGTGTAACCAGACTCGAGTGAGGTCACAGTGAAATAGAACAAAGTCCTTTATGTGGATTGAAGATTCATGGACACCAGCAAGTTACTTTGTGTATGATTTTTCATGTGAAGTATCAAAGTACAAACTTTAACACACCCTTTGATGGGCTTCCAGTGTCCTTAGGGTATGACAAGGAGATCAGTTTTAAGTTAGAGAAGGGGTTTGTAAATGAGTCCTGGCAATTATCGCATGCCATTGAGTTAAAGCCTCGGTTATATAATCTCATCGATTATAACTCACACCAGTGTTTCGTGTACGCTAAGAAAGAAAGAATGCTGCCTGTTAACCATGGTATGCTATTAATTGTGAAATACATCACTTACCTTTCTTCCTTTCTTCCTTCCTTCCTTCCTTTCTTTCTTTCCTTTTTTCTTTCTTTCTTTCTTTCTTTCTTTCTTTCTTTCTTTCTTTCTCTCTCTCTCTCTCTCTCTCTCTCTTTTTCTCTCTCTTTCTCTCTTTCTTTCTTTCATTTTTGTTTGAGACAGGATCTTGCTTTGTTGCCCAGGTAGCAGTGTAGTGGCACAATCATAGTTCACTGTAACCTCAAACTCCTGGGTTCAAGTGATCCTCCCACCTCGACCTTCCAAAGTGCTGGGATTACAGGCATGAGACACTGCTCCTGGCCCATTGGATTTCTTTTCTTTTTCTTTATCTTTTTTTTTTGAGTGGAGTCTCTCTCTGTGGCCCAGGCTGAAGTGCAGTGGCAGGATCTCAGCTCATTGCAACCTCTGCCTCCTGAGTTCAAGCAATTCTCCTACCTCAGCCTCCTGAGTAGCCAAGACTACAGGCAGGCTAATTTTTTGTATTTTTAGTAGAGATGGGGTTTCACTATATTGGTCAGGCTGGTTTCGAACTCCTGACCTCAAGCAATCTGCCCTCCTCAGCCTCCCAAAGTGCTGGGATTACAGGCAGGAGCTACTGTGCCTAGCCTGGATTTCTTTTTTTTTTTTGAGATGGAGTTTCGCTCTTGTTGCCCAGGCTGGAGTGCAATGTTGCGATCTCGGCTCACTGCAACTTCTGCCTCCTGGGTCAAGTGATTCTCCTGCCTTAGCCTCCCGAGTAGCTGGGATTACAGGCATGTGCCACCACACCTGACTAATTTAGTATTTTTAGGTCCTGCCTCAGCCTCCCGAGTAGCTGGGATTACAGGCATGTGCCACCACACTCGACTAATTTTGTATTTTTAGTAGAGACAGGGTTTCTCCGTGCTGGTCAGGCTGGTCTCGAATTCCTGACGTCAGGTGATCCACCCGCCTCGGCCTCCCAGAGTGCTAGGATTACAGTCGTGAGCCACCGTGCCCGGCCTGGATTTCTTAAATGCTAAAATGAGGGAGAAGAATGCTGAAATTGATGAAATAAGCAGTATTTTTGAGAATTTGGGGCATGTACTGGTTTTGTTTTGTTTTCTTTTGTTTTTGTTTGAGACGGAGTTTCACTCTTGTCCCACAGGCTGGAGTGTAGTGGCATCATTTCGGCTCACTGCAACGTCCACCTCCCGGGTTCAAGCGATTCTCCTGCCTCAGCCTCCCAAGTAGCTGGGATTACAGGTGCCCACCACCACGCCCAGCTAATTTTTGTATTTTTAGTAGAGACGGAGTTTCACCATGTTTGCCAGGCTGGTATCAAACTCCTGATCTCAGGCGATCCGCCACCTCGGCCTCCCAAAGTGCTGGGATTATAGGTGTGAGCCACTGTGCCTGGCTCACACCTGGTTAATTTTTAAATTTTTTGTAGAGACAGGATCTTATTATTTTGCCCACACTGGTCTTGAACTCCTGACCCCAAGTGATCCTCTCATGTCGGCCTCCAAAAATGCTGGGCTTACAGGTGTGAGCCACTGTGCCTGGCCTATTTCTTGGACATTTTTGTATGTTTATTTCCTCTTTATATACATATGAAATAGAATACTTAATACACTTAAAAGTATTTATAGAAAAGTATTCTTGGCAGGGCGTGGTGGCTCACGCCTGTAATCCCAGCACTTTGGGAGGCCAAGGTGGGCAGATCACGAGGTTAGGAGATCGAGACCATCCTGGCTAACACGGTGAAACCCTGTCTCTACTAAAAATACAAAAAAAGTTAGCCGGGCATGGTGGCAGGCACCTGTAGTCCCAGTTACTGGGAGGCTGAGGCAGGAGAATGGCGTGAACCCGGGAGGCAGAGCTTGCAGTGAGCCGAGATCGCGCCATTGCACTCCAGTCTGGGCGACAGAGTGAGACTCTGTCTCCAAAAAAAAAAAAAAGTGTTCTTATTTATACAAATAGAAAGTGTATAAAAACATTTTGGTTTTAGTAACACAACAGTTAGAGAATTCTGTGTTTGCCTTTGAGAGATTAAGTTACACATTTATCTAATCAGGCTTTTGGGCATGGTACATTTTATGAAATGTGTAACTTATGTATTAGAGTTATACAAGTAACTCTTGTGTTGCATAAAATACAGAGGAGTAAGCTGCTGCTGTAAATT